TAATGTGTGTGTGTGTATATATATATATAGAGAGAGAGAGAGAGAGAGAGAGATTTAGTTAGTTAAATTTAGGACAGTCTGAAAATCACCTCTGGAAAGCGCTCAGCGCTTTTTTCTGATACTCTTCCTGCATTCCTCGAAGAGATGCTGTTAAGACAACAGAAATGTAAGAAGAAGGTAAGGACAAGATAAAGCAAGAAACAATCTGTAAGGTTTCAGATACCTTAATGTTAGAGAAAGGATATCACAGGATTATAGTGTGTGTAACAGAGGCAAGACATAATGTATAGAGCATTACAGAGTGATTATTAAATGATGTAACTGTCATTACAGAGTGTGTTATATAAGAAAAGAGAGAGGTTATAAAGTATCAGTGGATTATAGAAGGGTATAGATCGTGTTATAGAATGCAGAGAAAATGTACAGAGCATTACAGAGAAATACAGAAAATGTGTTATATAAGAGTAGAGAAAGGGAAACGTACAAATCGTTTAAACGGTACAGAATAGTGGTTCTCAACCAGGGCCAAAAACTTCCAAGTGGGCCATAGGATGATAATGAAAATTATTTCATTATATTTAAATATATTTAAAAAAAATATATTCAAACTAAATAAAAATAATATTTCCCCCCCCTTAATAACTATTATTTTCATTGAAAAACATGCAGAATCAGAATCTTGATTATTACAAAATCTCAAAATGAATTGTGTTCAATGAATATATCAACACTCCCAGTTTCTGTTAATAACAATGTATGACAACAATCAGAGTTGCCACAATTACAGCAGAAATACCAGAGGTATTCTTAGCCAATATGGGGGGCCTTTGATTATTGTTACACAATGGTAGGCCTTTGAATTACAAAGGTTGAGAACCACCAGCAAAAAACATAGAGGAACAAATAGAGCATTATAAAAGATTATAGAAAGTGTATTGTTTTATATAGGTATTATAGAGTGGATCAAAGTGCATTATATAAGGAAGATAAAAAAAACGGCATAGTATAAAATACTACTGGGAGGGTACATAGTGTTTTAGAGGGTAGAGAAAGAGTTTACAGTAATATAAAGAAATTAAGGAGACAATATAGAGTGTTACAGAGAGGTACAGAGTGAATTATAGAGGACAAAACAAGGTATAAAATATTATAAATGGATTATAAGGAAAACGTGTGTGTGTGTGTTAAAGAGGATACAGTAAAGATTACAGTCTTATAAGGGTATAGAAATGGTATATACAGTGCATTCTACTGCAGGTATGCTTACCATCTGTGGCTTTCAGGCTGTAGACGAGACCAATAGCTAGATAGCCTTTGGCCCTGAATTCAGCCGCCTTCTCACCCATATCAATCACTATTTTAGCAAAGCGCTCACCTTCTTCCAGCTAAAAAAACACAAATACACACACCATGTCATCACCATCTCACTGTTCGTGGACGGTCTAACAGTAAAGGATTTACAGAGTCATAAACAGGTCAGGGTCAGCTCTCCGGTTGAGCCTGTGTGTATTTCCCATGATTCCTCTTTTATTACCCAGTGCAGATTTCCAATACACAGCTTGACGGCCAGCAGAGGAATGGTGGGATTGTCCGGCTTCAGTCTCATACACTCCTTCAGCACCTTCACTGCTCGAGCCGACTTCACACACACACACACACAACAAGATTAGACTCAGAGTAATTTCTAGCTTAAATTACATTTCTTAAAATATATTAAAAGTACAAACCAGTTATTTTTAATTGTAATAATATTTTGGTATATTAGTTTTTACTGTATTTTTGATCAGACAAATGTAGCCTTGGTGAGCATAAGAAACTTTTTTCAAAATCTTCAGACATTTTTACTGACCCCAATATATAAAAAATAAAAGAATATAATTGAGTATTAAATATATAAGATATAATATAATATAAGATATATTACATAAAATAAATGACATAAAAAGGACTTTAACATGATTAATTTTCCTTTCACTGAAATCATAACTTTAAAATTGCCTGATATTTCTAGGTTTTCAATGACTATGGGAACTCTTAAGGAACATTGAAAGCAGAAAATGGAACACTAACCTTCCCAGCAGCCATTAGGGAAAGAGCAAGCTGGAACCAGAGATGAAACTCCTCAAAGGCAAACTTCATGGCTCTTTCGAGACACTGTGGAGAAGAGACATTAAGATAACCACAGATAAAAGTTGAGAACAATAATTATGACCCCCAACAGATACATGCACAAAGGTCAAACACAGAGCCAGGCAATGTCCCCTGCTAAAGATTACCCAGCGTGCCACAGGCTTTCAGTGTGTCTCTGAGGCTTTACAGTTAATCACACCAGCAGATTAGCAGAGAGCAATTCATTGAACAATTAGATCTACATAACAAACAGCTACACAAACCACACACACACACGACCCTGCAGAGGGCACACACAATAAATATGGCAGACTCCCAGGGCCCTGTGATTGCACAACCATAAAATCCTTGAATATAAAAGACACAGCAAAAGTTATGCTGAGTCCAACATTAGCAACAACAGCATGACCAACAGATGGAGACGGAAGAGAAAAATCTGTCCAGGTACACTAATGAAAACATCAGACTACAAACCACACACACACACAAAAAATGCTTTTCTTTGCCTGCCTGTTCTGTCCTAAATAGGCCAGGCTTCCGAAAACAAACACAGAGGCTTGTCCGTGGCAAAAATAAAATGTTAAGTAGAAAGTTATTAATAATGCGGTTTAATTTGGACACGTTTGTGACATGTAGATTTGTGCTCTAATATTGAATCTGGGTTAGTTCTGAATACAAAAAAGCTATGTAATATAATATAATAACATGAAATCGTATATTATAAATAATTGAAGCAGTATTCTGGTTTGTTACATGCCCCCAAACTCACATGCACACTGTGAATAACCTCCAGACCAGACACAGACACATACATTCACACAGAGGGAGCGCAGTCTAGAGTGCAGGTCTGGTCTTGTTACCACAGCAACCACACCGGGAGGTTTAACTCGTCCCGCTGAGGGAGTATTCCTGAATGTTCCCATGGTGATGAGCGTGGGCAGGACCTCACCTCTGAGAGCATCTCATACTGTCCGCGTCGGCCGAGCGCGATGGTCAGCAGGTCGTACACCAGTGAGGCGCTCTGGAGGCTGATGATTCGGTCATTATTGTGTTCGGGGATTCGACTCAATACGGCGTCTCTGTTAGCCTATGATAAATACAGATATGAATACACACATTCCCCCAAACAGACATGATTACACTACACTTCCTGTGATGGCAAAGCTGAATTTTCAGTAGCCATTACTCCAGTCTTGGTTACATGATCCTTCAGAAATCATTCTAATATGCTGATTTGATGCTCACGAAAAAGTCTCTTATTATTATCAAAGACGAAAACAACTAAATTTGTCTTATTATTTTTTTGTGGAAAAAGTTATACATTTTTTACAGGATTCTTTGATGATTAGAAAGTTCAAACATCATTTCTTTAAAATATAAATCTTTTGTAACATTATAAATATCTTTACTGTCACTTGATTAATTTAATGTGTCCTTGATATAAAATTAATTTTAAAAAATTGAACAGAAGTGTAGTATACTTGGGCTACCAATAACAGAGACTATTATTAACATTAGACAGCTTCATTTTAGGCCAGTTTGCAGCAGTAACACCTTATTTATTACTATGAAATAAAACACTGTTTAATCACACTGTGCATAAGTAAAAACTCATTATGACTGAACATAACTCACTTGCAGAGCTGTTGAACGGTCAATTTAAAGAAAACTTAAGAAAAAAGCCACATGAGCAAGAGATCTAATGAGATTTCTGCTGAGTTCAAGCTAAAGGCATCTCTGATTCTCCAGCTCTGCTTTCAGTACCATTATGATTGACCTTTCATACTGAAACACCTGCAGCGTCAGACCATGCTGACTTCATTTACATGTTCTCCTGTGCCGATGGTTAAACCACAGCAGTTCAGAGGGTCATAGAATCTCTACTGCTACTCACCATGGACTCGCTGATTAACAACAGGAGCAAGGCCTCCTCTGTGTTCTCCTGTGGACAAAACAAACTAGAGAGAGAGAGAGAGATAGAAAGGCCATCATGAATTTGTCCATCCATGACATTATGAATACAGTGACAAGAAACAAACTTCCAGAATTCTGATCAATTAATCCCACCACCTTTTTTTTATTTTCATGCTACATCATAAAAATAAACAAACAATATACACAGAAACAGCTGTGCCAACAGAAAATATTCCAGTGTTTCTGCAGGATTACGTATATACTTTTATAGTATTTATTATTATTTTGAATTAGGTGTCCTACTTTTCTCCTGAGTAGATGCGTGGGCGGCGGCTGAGGGCGTAGTCCTTAGTGTGGAGGGGGTGTCTGAGCAGGTCGTCCAGGGGGGAGTGGTGAGGTGGGTCTTCTAGTGGATTCCAGTAACTCTGTTCACACATGCCCCTCAGCAGGATCTCTGCAAGCTGCCTGGCGATAGTCTAAACCCATACAGTATACCTTCAGATTCTAGATCTGTGGTTCTCAACCAGGGGCCGGGGCCCAATAGGGGGCCTCAGCAATCTTCCAAGGGGCCTCAAGATTACATAAAATCCTTTAAAGTAAGCTAAAACAACTAAAAAAGATTAAAACTTACATAAACAATTTTTATGTCAATTTGTTCCCTCAATGCCTGTCATTTTTATTTAAGAACCAGGATTATAGTCTTGGAAAACCTAAATATTGTGGGAATTTTAAAAGTGTAATTTCTAGAGTTGGAAAATTCATGGAAAATACTAAAATCTATAATAATAAAATGTAATGGAAATAAATTATATATACATATATAAACTATAGCAGAAGTACTGTACCAGAAATCTACACGGAGGGCCTTCAAAAAAAGGTTGCGAACCACTGTTCTAGACAGAGACAACAAGACAAAGCCATAAACACACAACTCACCATACGCAGGTTCTGAGTAGTTCTGGTCTCAACGGCTCGGAGAATCTCTCGGAAGCGGCTGACACCACGGGTCAGGTTACTGCAGCACCAGGAAATGGAGAGAAAAGAGATCCATTAATCACCTCTAGAGAGCTGAAAAAAAAAACTGATGGCTGACATCAACAAATTTCTCATCAACTCTGTACAAACTTTCTTACACAAACAGATGGAAACACACGCACACACCCTCAGGACTGGTCAGACCTCTGCCACGATTTAGTGAGCTCTAGCATCAAGCAGTCAAACTAAAGTAGTTACTGGACAGGAAGTTATCGGGCCTGTAGGGCACATGATTACAGGAGTTCTGGATACAGTGCTGTGCAAGTCACAATTAGCACCTATATGAATGCTGTACAACCTGTGAATGTGTGTGTTAGCGCCTGTCAATGACTGGGGTCAATATATCCTCATCAGACTGCAATATTCCTTCAGCCTCTTTACAAACTGACAGCACACGAAAACACACACACACACACCATGAATGGACACATGTGTAAAAGACCAGAGAATATAGCCTCAGGCTGTGGAGGTGTGAAGTGTTGCAGAGATGCACGTGAATGCAGGGAGAAGCAGTACAGTAGTTGTGTTGAGAGAGACAGAAGTGTAGAAGTATAGGTATGAGAGCGAGCAGGACAGAGAGAAACAGAGCTAATAAATAAAATGGCCAATTCAAGCATCAGTTCAAACAGTCACATGGATTTATACGATTTTAAACCTATAAGTGTCTATCGTTTGCAAATGCTGCACTGGCTAAAATCACAGTTTCATTGTTCACAACTGTGTTCCATTAAACAAAGATAAAGTGTGGAATTTCTTTCATCAAACACAAAATTTAAATTAATATCTAAAATCTAAAATTTTTACATTTAGATTACCTTCACTGTTATCTAACACTCACTTAAGAGTTAATCTTTAAAACACTAATCATTTTATAACAATGCTTAATGTAATCTTTAGCAAATCTCAAAATGAATATCTATTTTTCATCAGTATATAATAATGTTGTGATGCCTAAATTCACTTTTTTTAGTTTATAGTGATTTTTATTTTTTATTTAGACAAAAGTATTGAATTTTACTCTACAGTACAGAGTTTTTATAATCACACAGACTGAATATTTGTTATCCTGTAGGAAATGCATGTTGCGTGAGGTTTAAAGACATTGCTTTCAATCATTTATGAGCCTAACAGATTCATTACCCACAATGCACCACTGCAGCGGTCATATTTCACACAGATGCATTTCAAGCACTGAGAGATGCCCCACCTGCAATCCATATGGAAGATCCCTCCCCAACCATATGCTCACTGCACAAATAAATAATGATGGAGATTCTCATACTGCCATGTGTAAGGCCACCACACATTTCACGCTAGTACTGCAAATCGCAAAAAAAAAAGGGGTGCTCAGAAGGGTGCTCGCAAGTGCCCTCGATGCGCACTTCTGCCGAGCCCGCACTGAGGCAAGCTCCATAGCAGACTTCTACCCGACAGTCAAATCGGCATTACGTTACGAAGTGTGGACTCAGAGGAAGACCGCAAGGGTTTAGGGTTCGATTTGGGACAGGGCCTTACAAGGACCTTATTTCTCTACAATCATCAGGTCAAAGTCAAATTACAGCTGACAGAGATTTGTCCAGCTATGAGATTCCCGAAAAATGCATAAATTGATAAGATGTGTACCTTAAGTTGCTTTGGATACAGTTGGCAGTGCATTGGCAGTGTCTGGCAAAAGTGTCTTCTACAGTTACACTACCTTTTAAAATTTTGGTTTAAGCAATAATTTTTTTGTGTTTTTGAAATAAGTTATAAGTCCCTTATGCTCACTAAGGCTACATTTATTTGATCAAAAATACAGTAAAAACTGTAATTCTGTCCAATATTATTACAGTGTAAAATTCTACTTTTAAAATGTAACTTATACATGTGATGGCAAAGCTGAATTTTTTTCAGCAGCCATCACTCCAGTCTTCAGTGTCACATGATCCTTCAGAAATCATGCCGAAATATAATGTTTTGGTGTTCATGAATCATTTCTTATTATCTTTTATAATGTTGAAAACAGTTGTGCTGCTTAATATGTTTGTAGAAACCATGATACATTTTTTTCAGGATTCTTTGATGAAAAGAATGTTTAAAAGAACAGTCATTTCAGTATAATTAACAGATTTATTTAGACTAATTTATTGATACTTTTTGGCTTTAAATTAATTTTTAAAAGTACATATTGGACAGATTTTTTCCCGACTTTTTGTTCACTGCATTCTGGATTTTTCTTATCCATGAAAGTACCAAAAAACAAAAAAACAAAAAACGGAATGCAGCGTATTCATGCAAGCTTCATGTTGAGAGCATGCCCTGATGCTTTAAAGGCTGCTTATGTAGGCAGCTAACTAGGTTTTGGCTTCTGTGTGAAGCTGCTACAATATAAGCATGGCACTACTCTAAATGAAGAGAGTGTAGGGATACGTACGAGAAGTCGTTTAACACACGGCTCCATGGTGTAGAGGCCGAGGTGCAGGGGAGAGTGTGGCATCAGAACACACATAAATAACATAAAACGCACAGACACACACAAGCTGAGAACTACAAAAGATCAATGAAGCATTTGGAAAAAATAAAGGCACAAAGAAAGAAAGAGAGTTAGTGGGCAGACAGAAAGCTCAGCAGATTCCTAGACCACTCACTGAAGCACGTGTCCGAGGGAAAGAGGAGTGACGAGAGAAAACAATAGATGTTCGAACAGAGGGCATGATAAATGAATGGACACAGCTGTCTCAGGTGTTTCTAAAGGAAGCCTGTTCGGGCTGTGAATAATAATTGAGTGTTGTGCTACAGATAGTGCTGAACGGTATATTGAAAATTATATACACAACATATTTGAGAGGATTTTGCTGGTAATATAAAGCTACACATTTTCAATTTTATTTGACTACTTAATTTTGTCAAATAAAAAGTCTGAGCGTGCCAGTAAACTAGTTTTGCAAAACCTTGTTAAAGTGGGTAGGTTTGATTCATTTGTCAGCATGAATTACTTATTTTCAAACTCTGATTTGAAATATTTTATTTTGCCATCACCATTCAGAATATATCATCATTGCCAAAAAATAAAAAAATACATTACAATTCAATTTTTTAAACTTTTGATATTGTGAAATTAAATTACAATTTAAAATAAAGGTTTTTATTTTAATACATTTTAAAATGTAATTTATTAATGTAATGACAAAGCTGAATTTTCAATAATCATTACTGTGTGTCTTCAGTGTCACGTAATCCTTCTTATGTGCTGAATTGATGATCAAGAAACATTTATTTTTATTATCAATGATTCTTTGATGAATTGATCAAAAGTTCAAAAGAACACCATTTATTTGAAATAGAAATCCTTTGTAACATTATGTCAAATGTCTTTACTGTCACTTATGATCAGTGCATGCTTGCTGAAAAAAATTATTAATTTCTTTTATTGTATTATTTCTTATATTAACCAATTTAAAGCTAGTTTGCAACATTGATTGTATGTTAAAAATAATGTTTTTAAAAATTACATTTTAAAATATTGTCAATAGGCTGACAAATATGGATATATTTTAGCTATATATTTTCAGCTATATCGCCCAGCCCTAGTTCCTGATAATATAAACACACAAATACTCACCCATTTTTGAAATGAATAACATGAGCCCTCTGAAGTCCTGTCTCTAGGAAGTAGCCAAGTTCCTGGTCCTGAGTGACCGGACCGGGCTTTGGACTTCGGTTCTGAATGCCAACACTAAGAGCCTGAAGACAAGACATAAGTCATCAAATATTACTGTCAATCATAAGTGAAACAAGCTCAAACTCTTTCCTGGTCACTTACACTTAGTTATTCAGCAAATACAAACCATATGTCTTCAAAAGAAGCCCAGAGTCAGACTGTTTACTATATTTACCCGGGGAACACTTTAGAGAGGACGGCGGTTAGGAGGGTACGAGTTTCTAGCATGAAGGTCAAACGTAAACCTTCGGCTGCACCCAAAAAATGCAGCGTCAACACTGCAGCAGAACACAAGCTCTACCGTTCTCCTCTCTTGCCATCATTCACTCTCTCTCTCTCTCCGGCTCTCTCTACGCTCCATCCCTTCTCCACCAACGCTAAATCACAAGCAGTAAATACTGAACACTATGCAGGGGAATGAATCTGTGCGCCACTATTCCAACAAAGAGAATTAGTGGTGTGAAAACAATCTGAAGGAAACGGAGACTCCTCTTATTCTGCAAGAAAATGAACTTTGACCTGTAAAAAGCTTTAATTGTGATTTAAAGTTCACAGGTGGGACAAGAAGAGATTAGTGTCACGGATGGCGGACCCTCTGCTGCAGTACTGTGCAAATCTGTCCTAGGCTACAAAATTACTGTATGTTTTAATGTCTATGAGAACTTGACTAAAAAAAAATTGAAAATTGAGGAAGAAAAAAAAACAGTAGTGAATGAATATTTGGAAATACCTTTTCTACCTCTTGAAGATAGAGAAGAGCGATGTCTCCAGACTTCTCATAACAAGTGATGATCTCCTGGTCTCTGTCTGCATTACGATTGGACAGTGATGGGGACGCCATGGGCACTTTCTCCAGACAAAGACCTTCGAACAAACAGCAGAGAGATGAGATGACTTTCACATGCCAAGAGCTAGAAAGGCACACAGAGCTATCCTAGTGCTCTGCCACATTCAGAAGAATGTTTATGACTTATGACAGCTCATTTAAATAAAGATAATCTGAAGTGTGACTTAACGACTTAACTTGTTTCCTTTTAGAGCCATGTGATATAGCAGTACAATAAAAGAATCATTGTGAAGTATTGTTAGGAATTAAGTAAATAATTAAATAATATATATAGGTTTTTTAAATTATATATATATATATATTTTTTTTTTTACACATTTACCAAATTCAACATAGTTATGGAGAACTAGGAGGGCCACATAAAGTAAAATGAAGAAATGAATTAGCAATTTATTAATAATAAAAAAATATTTTTTCTAATGTTCAGCGTTCTAATCAGGTGAGCATGAAAAATAAAATAAAAAAAGCATTAAAAAAAAGTTAACATTTAAAAAAAATAAATCAATAAAAAAATTATAAAATTATAATTATTTTATATGCACATGTCATCCAAATGAACTACAGAACCTCAAGAAAAAAAACTGACATTAATCACAAATTACTGACATTTGAATTACTGAATCGACTGACAGCACTTACTGTACATTTCATAAGTCACCCAAGGTTGTTTATTTGTTGTTTGAGGTATTGATTTAGTATTGATTAGATTTAGTATGCAAGTTCCAAAATTCTGCCATCAATCAAACTATATTTCTTTCAAAATCATAGTTACATTCATTTTCTACTGAGCCACAGTATTCACTTATGTGAAGCTTAGTGATGTAGCACTAAAAAAAACAACAGCAAAGCTTGAATTTCAGAAACACACAGCACTTCTGTCAATTCTAATTCAATTGACTAATGAAATACACGGTTATGGTTTGATCCTTACTTTGAGGATATTATATTCATTCTTAAAGGGTCAGACTGAACTCGATATGCTTTGTTCATATAATTCGAGTGTGTTTCCTTTGTTCTGGCTGGAAAGAGGAAGTGAGACACTGAAATATACATGTTTGAGAAAATCAAAGACCTCAGACAAACCAGAAAAGCTTTAAATGTTTTAGCACGAGCTGATGTCTGTTCCACTGCTGTATCTCCTTGCCTCGTCTGGGTCAGCTGAGAGCCAAGTAATGCGTTAAAGATACAAGTACGTTTCCTTAGACATGTCACACAATCTGTGGCCAACCTCTGTCTACTGGCTTCAGCTTCCGAAGTCACATCTTAAATCCCTCAGGTGGCTGGTAAACATGATGAGAGTTGTTTGTTTGGCTGGTGTTAGTATTGGGTTCTCCATGCAGATAAAGTTTCATTAAACTGATTCAATAATAGATTACGGCTTATAAACAGATATCACAGGATGAAGAAAACTGTCTGGTACCAACCAAGTCACAAAATGATTCCGAAATGAAAACGGAGCGGAATAATCCATCACGAGTAAGAAGGTAATGACGAGGCCCTGATTAAAAGTGCACTGTGAAGTCCCTGTAAGACAGGAGGAGAATAAGAGTGGACTGATTGGCATGAAATATTAGTGAATGGTTTTAAGTCACCTTCACTATTTAAAGTTTGGGGTCAGTGAGACTTTTTTTTTTTTATAATTAATTCTATTCAGCAAGGATGCATCAAATTGATCAAAAGTGACAGCAAAAACTTTCACGTTACAAAAGAAATCATGGTTTCCACAAAAATATTAAGCAGCACAACTGTTTTCACTATTGGTAATAAGAAATGTTTCTTGAGCACCAAATCAGCATATTAGAATGATTTCTGAAGCATCATGTGTCTGAAGACTGAAGTAATGATGCTGAAAATTCAGCTTTACCTTCGCAGGAATAAATGACATTTTAAAAGAAAAGAAAATATAAAAACATTATTTTAAATTATTATAATTCTTTTTTTTTTTTACAATATTACTGTTTTACTGTATACTTCTCACAAATGCCCAACTTGTTATTGGTAGTGTATATACGATTAAATATTGACAAAATTATTTTTAGCAGGTATATACATTTAAAATGTACAGTTGTACTCTTCTGAGAAAAAAAAAATTGTCCGATAAAATGCTCTAAAAAATGAATATGACCCTCCCTTAGCATATAAACAAATTGTGGTCAAAGGCTATGATGCAAACTAAATAAATACATTTATAGCAACTAATTCTAAATTAATCTAACATAACATTTAAAAGTGGTTTTCAGCGGTTGCAGTGTTTCTCAACCAGTGGAGCCTCAGCAAACTTCCAAAGGGGGTTTAAAATAAGAATAAACTTTAAATATCCAAGGCATTCAAATAAGCTAAAACAACTAAAAATATATTTCATAAACTAATTGACAACCCTTAACAACTGTTTGTTTCTTGTGAAAAAACATGGCTCCCACTGGCTTGAAATACCTGGATGCCTAATTTTAAAAGTGTGATTTATAGACCAGGAAAAGTAGAGTAAATTAATAAAACCTTAAACTGCCACAGGCATTTTACAATGAATATACATGTTACTAGTTATGCCAGGCTCCAGAATATTTTATAGTGTAGAAATGATGAGTAAAAAAAATAAAACTTCAGGAAACCTTAGAGAAACTAGAAGTGGCCATAGATTAAAATAAGTTCTGAAAACAAAACTAGAGCTATGAACATTGTTATGGACAATGGGGAGCCTTGGAGTTAAAAGAGTTGAGATCCACGGTCATATGGGTACAGAAATTACACACTCCAGCTTTAAAGAAAAATCAAATTTTATGACAAAGGAAGACAAAGGGATTTTGTTGTTCCACACCGATGCCCAAAGAGAAAAAGGGAAAAAAACTGAATGAGAGAGAGAGGGAGAGAGTGTGTCTACATGCTGTAAATCCCTTTACCTAATATAGACCTGCAACACTGGAGGCCTGAACTTAGTCTAGAAGGTCTGAAAAAGGCACATTCACTTCTGTTCAGATACAGATAACACATTCAACAGAAATCTGTTCCTCTCGACCACTGTGCTTCTCTAAACACACATATCCCTCTCCTTACAGGTTTAAAAGCCCGTTATACTAGGCAGATCCAAGACAAGCCCCATTACAGTGACCGGGCTCTTTAATGACCTGCATAACGGCCGCAGTAAATCTGACGCCTCAGGACAGGCTGTGACGAGTAGCTCACGGCGGCAAGAAGGAGATTGAGGACGAGGAATTAATATACACAGGAGACGAGGCAGGAAGTGCCAGTGAGATGACACACACACGTGTGTTCGTGTGCGGTAGCTGGGGTGTGATGGATGATTGGGGCCGAGGAAGGAAGCTGCCCCCCTGTAAAGACAGTTGTCAGTCTCAGAGATGCTTTGAGGCGATTGGATGAGACAGGCTCTGTGCCACCCTGCAGTTTTTCCCCAGAGCCCCACAGTACTGCCGATCTGTCAGAACTCTGATCAAAGACCTCACGCTGCGGTCCTGGCAAACACATTCACTGTGCTCAAAATTAAAAGTGTGTGTGTGTACGTGTGTGTTCAGAGCAAAGGATTTAGTTGCAAACACTTTTCTCTGCAGAGCATCACATATAGTATTAAAGCAAGGCTGCCACCCAAAGGTCAAAATGTGAACCGTAGGAAACCGTGAAGCATCTCTTCACTGTTCTGACGAGGTGAGCATAAAAAAAACGAAGCTAAAAATGAATTAAAATTACATTACAATTAATTTTAAAAATAAAAATAAATTAAAAATTAAATAAATATTGCCTCTTTTTAAATTTTAAATGAAACAATATATTTTGTAATTATATAACTGTTAGTATAATTAAATTTACACTACCAATATAAATTTGGGGTTGGTGAGATTTTTTAAATGTTTTTAAAAGAACTCTCTTATGCTCACCTGCATTTACTTGATCAAATACAGTAAAAAAACAATGCTGTAAAATATTATTACAATTTAAAATAAACTGCTTTCTATTTTAATATATTTCTAAATGTAATTTATTCCTAACAAAGCTGAATTTTCAGCAGTAATTACCCCAGTCATCAGTGTCACATCCTTCAGAAATCATTCTATAATCATTCAATATGATTTAGTACTCAAGAATCACTTACTGTTATTGAAAACTGTTGTGAGACATTGTTACAATTTTTTCAGTATTCTTTGATGAATAGAAAATTTAAAAACTAGAGATATTTTTTTAAATGTTTATAAATGTTTTTAGTGTCACTTCATTAATTTAATGTATCATTTTAAAATGTTTTTAAAAGAACTCTCTTATGCTCACCTGCATTTACTTGATCAAATACAGTAAAAAAACAATGTTGTAAAATATTATTACAATTTAAAATAAACTGCTTTCTATTTTAATATATTTCTAAATGTAATTTATTCCTAACAAAGCTGAATTTTCAGCAGTAATTACCCCAGTCATCAGTGTCACATCCTTCAGAAATCATTCTATAATCATTCAATATGATTTAGTACTCAAGAATCACTTACTGTTATTGAAAACTGTTGTGAGACATTGTTACAATTTTTTCAGTATTCTTTGATGAATAGAAAATTTAAAAACTAGAGATATTTTTTTAAATGTTTATAAATGTTTTTAGTGTCACTTCATTAATTTAATGTATCATTGCTAAGTAAGAGTATTAATTGCAGTAAGAGTACATTAACAGTAACGTAATATATAGCTGATATTGTCCTTTTTATTGTCCTCATTTGTAAGTCGCTTTGGATAAAAGCGTCTGCTAAATGACTAAATGTAAATATAGAATTTAAATAGAATTTATACTGTATTTATAGTGAAATGGCAATGGTTTAAAAAAAAAACTTTACATCGCTGCATATTGAATATTAAATATCCTACTGCTGTGATTTTGTTGCTTTGCGCAGCATTTTGCTTTCAGTAAGGACACAAATATGGACTTGATTGCAGAAACTTGATGTTTCGGTTCTAGTAAGGCAAAACGTCCTTACCAAAGCAAGTTACATAATTTAGGTCTGTTTCACAGCGCATACATAAGCAGTGAAACTGCATCAGCAGGCTCGAGATTGTGCTTTCACAAAGACAGCATTTCTGCTATGTAACAGCCCAGCAGCTCTATTTTCTGAGCTATGACACTGATTATATACCTTTAGTGGCGTAGGCCTCAGCAATCATGGAGAGTCTGTACACTGGAGCCCCTACCAGCTGCATCTCATCCAGATTCACACGGCTGTACTGATTCAGTGCTTCCCTGTAATCAACCTCCACGTAGCACAGCTTAGCCATGATCAGACTGGCCTCCTGCATGTATTCAGGCTGGGAGAGAAAGAGAAAATACATACCGCCACACTATAGTATACTATAGTAAAGCAAATATAGCTCCACAATCACCTCACATTCTCAGAAACAGAACTACAATAAATTAAATACATTGCTAAAATCCAGATAAACACCAATGACACTGGAAAGGCTCCAACCATGATTGGTTTTAAGTAGGGCTGCACGATTATGACAAAAATCATAAGAAAAAAACGCATCTTCAGCACACAGAATAGCATAAGTGGACTTTGAACGATTAATTGCCACTTTGAACGATTACGTAATTGTGGCATCCATAATTGTAATCGCGATTAGAAATTCGATTAATTGTGCAGCCCTAGTTTTAAGTCAGTTTGAGATTTACTTAGCACTGAATTAATCCATAATCATAAACTTTTTATTCCACTACTAATCTGGTTGTCGTTTACTCCCAAAACTTGGTATTGCTAATATTGTTGGATATGATGAATTGCTTTTCTTTAAATAAAAGTCTGATAAATGATTGCACTTAAATCTTGAAATGTTGAGATATTATTCCAGACATAGGGGCCGTTTTGACAGAATGTGTTTTCACATTCCTTTGTGCTGCTTTTCCATTGTTGTAAACATACGTGTTTGACAGTTGTGCTTACGTTTGCGTCTTTTACAGCATCTTGTGCATGACACGGTGTTCTTAACTTTTAAAAAAAGCATCTCTACACCTTGCATTTTCTCCCCAAACGCATACTGTGTGAATAATGTTGTTGTTTTTTGTGACCATGGATCAGATACATTTCGATATAATTAAAATACTACTATTATTTTTAATTTTTTTAATATGTTGAGTTTTTATTTTTTGTATCTTGTTTTTCATTTTAATTTTAAGGTTTTAATAATTTTGCTGTGTTTTACTAGTTATTATGTTATCATACTTTTATTAGTTATCAAATTATTTTATTAGTTATTATATTATTATTTATTACTTACAGTTTTATTAGTTTTGTTGTGTCCATTTTATTAGTTATTGTTTTTTTATATGTATATATAATTTTGTATTCATTTTATTTCAGATTTAGTTTCGGTTATTTTAGTACATAATGTTAAACTAAATGAAAATGAGAAATGTTATTTTGGCAACTAGCTAAAATATATTTAATATTTGATTTTATTTCAGTTAACGATTATTTTATTTCAAGACATATTTTTTAAATGGTTTTAGTTTTAATTTTAGTTCACTGTAACACTGATGCAAGTGTAACAAACAGAAGTGATGATCCTGACTTTTCAGGCTTACCTTTAAGTTTCCCCGATCAAGTGCAGCCGTCAAGTGTTTCCGTACCTCCTGGAGGCGTGGTCGGGGCCCGCGGGGACTGGCTCCCTGCTTGATGGGGTTTTCCTTGAGGTACTGCTGGAGTTTGGCCTCCCCCAGCAGAAGCTCTCCGAGATCATCTACAAGAGAAGCAGAGGTTGAGCTGGGCACCTGAATTTACTCAAGTAATCACACACACAGACAGAAAGCAAGGAGTTAACAACTCATACACTAGGATGATTTCATCATAATGACAGTCAGCAAGCTCATGCACACACATTCATAAATGTACCACTGCAAACGATGGCAAAATTGTCATTATTGGGTGAACTATCCCTTTCATCTTTCTCTTCTGTCTGAAAAAGTAACTGTGGAGAGAAGCCACCTGCATATCTGAACTGTAAAGCCAAAACACAAACACATTTACAGTTCAAGAGAGAAGTGCTGATTGTGAAAACAGCATTACATAAAGCCCAGATATAATCCAGTCTTGCACCTGAAACCATTCTTACAGGTCTTAACACACACACAGCTTTGAGAACAACCACGTGTGGTGGTTTAATCTGCTGCCTTACATGCACATCGTAAATCTTTCATCATTTTGTATGAGACGAATCAATAATGCTTATTAATATGTAGCTTTTAATGAACAGGGCAAATTGTAAAGATGGAAACGGGCAATTTAATCCACATTAAACCAACCTTTAGGACAGGCTCCTATAAGTCATAAATTTTACCCCAGTCAAATAATACATCTTCCAGACGTTCACGAATGATACTGATGTCAAATGTTCCTTTTGTGAAAATGTATTACTTAAAATATTTATATTTAAATAATGAAAATAAAAATAATAATAATAATGACCTACATATTATTACAATACATGTTATTCATTAATAAATAATTATAATAATATTTATTATTATCATTTACAGATTTTTAAGTATAATTTTAAAGTATATTAAATTTTTAATTCTTTTTGATTACTATAAATTATCCTTTCTTTTAATTTTTACTTTAACATTTTTTTTTTAATTTAAAAATGACCCATTGCAAATAAATAAATGTCTTTGTAAATTTTACATTCACAAATGCAAATATACCAACTGTAATCCCTTTTTCAAGTTTTTTTTTATTTTTTTACTTTTATTTTTTGAAAGAAATGATTTTGAAATCCGTCAATAAAAAAAGCATTCAAAACATTTGAAATTTCGTCTAATTTTAACTGATATATGGTAAATATCTGTGTACAGTTATGTTCTATTCTATACCATTTATTACTTTGCAGTGTTCTTTATCTGTGTGATTTAATTTGAATTAAATGTTTAAGTTTGAATATGCACCATTTAACTGTACCTAATGTAAAAGAGACTCCTATATTTTGACATCTTCACAAAACAATAAGTCAATAATAACTCTTAAAAATTTCCTAGACTTAATGCAAATATGAATTATAGAAATTATGAAGATGAATGGAGACAACTGTATGGGCAATCAGGAAGTGTACAAGACAGACGAGCAGAATACCACCAAAGAGGCATTAATATCACATTTTAGACAACCTGAAAAGAAAGTATTCATTCAATGACTTGTTTAATGTGTAGTTAAATGTACAGAGATAAATCAGATTCGGATTTTGCCACCAGGCCTGAGACACACACACTGTCCGAGCTAACGCGTTAGCCATGAGTGTACATTACATTAGAGAAATCACACACACCGTTTGAGATGAGTTTCGCAGACATCTGCCTCACGAGTTCTGCTATCTTGTCCCATTGTCCCTCTGATCGACAGCGTTCTATTTCAGTCTCTAATCGCGACCCGGACTTTCTGGCTGTCATCTTTCTACCTCCTGACCAAAACACGACCGGAGCCGCAGCACAGAAACATCAGAGACCTGGAGAGGAACATAAAAACATGAACCGGACTACGCTTCCGGGCCATGGTACTGAACTCTCATTGGACAGATTCTTATCACGTGACTATTATTCTCACATGAAAAAAGTTTATTTTGATTTAATTTGTTTTATTTATATTTCACTGTATATAATTTCTTTCTGATTGGTCAATCATGACATACAGCAGTAAATATTTCTAAATAATGATGTTCAATAATCGTGTACTGTCTCTCTGTGCTCGCTACTAATAAGCCAATAATACAAAAAATCAACTTCAGTCAATACATAATTTCATGCTTTGCAAGCTGTTGTATAATATACAGTCAGATGCAGTCATTATTGCAAAATTAACACTTTTTTGAACAACAATTTAATTTGTTTTATTTATATTTCACTGTATATAATTTCTTTCTGATTGGTCAATCATGACATACAGCAGTAAATATTTCTAAATAATGACGTTCAATAATCGTGTACTGTCTCTCTGTGCTCGCTACTAATAAGCCAATAATACAAAAAATCAACTTCAGTCAATACATAATTTCATGCTTTGCAAGCTGTTGTATAATATACAGTCAGATGCAGTCATTATTGCAAAATTAACACTTTTTTGAACAACCTTTATTTAACCCTTAAACCTCTTCAAATAACAAACATTATCATTGTTTTGTTGGCAATATCAAGCTGAACAGACCCATAATAAATCTAAGCAGCATACAATAAAAGAGAAAAAACATAGGCTAAATAATTAGATAGATAGATAGATAGATAGATAGATAGATCAGGGATTGAGTTCAGTGCTCATCTACATTCTGCAGTCTTTTCCTATCATATAATAAAATAATTACAACTAAGATCAGTATTTCATGTCTCCCATTTATTTGTTAACAAGCCAAGCAATAAGCAGAATAATGTGTAGCCTCTGTCGGATTCTATAACTACACACTGAACTGAACAGCTCTATCCCTCTGGTAATCCTGATTGAACGAAATTGCCCTTCCAGATTTTTGTAGTTCATCAGTGAACAGAGCGCGTTGCACTGCAGCCTCCACTGCTGTAGGTGGCGCTGTCGTAATCGCACCGCTGAGATTCAGCTGCAGTGCAGTGTGTCTGCGGCATGCTGGCCGTGGAGTTGGATAGAAGATTGTGTAAGTAATTAAGGTTCTTAATCATTATTGTTGTAAGGAATGGACTGGTTTTCATCCTCATGCATTTACATTTATAAGTACATTTGGTTTTCGTCGTTGTAGTACGAACGGTATTGTTTATTACTCGCTTACAGCCAGCATGCAAGTCAATGATGTGCTGTACTAGAAAACATTAAAATGTGTTAATTCAAGTGTTTAGATATAAAGATGGACATATCGCTGTATGTGATATAATTATTTTACTTTGCTCTTTTCCATTTAAAATGTTGTTGATTTGATTTCAGTGCCATTTCCAGTCAATGTCAGATTGGTTTGTTTAGATTTAAGAGAGTTCAGAAGCAAATCTATATCAGATACTTCAGCACTTTTTTAGCTGATTAAAGACACATGGATTGTTTACGAGTACATGATTATCATCTACTGTTCCTTATGAACTCAAACTCTAAATTCAAGGCTGAATAGTCTCAAAGAATGTACATTTACAGTACAGTCTTCTATTGCTTACATGAGTATGCCATTTTTATTGCAGTTGAGAATTGTTTTTTTTGCTTGATCTGTTATAATAATTATTTTTTCCCGTCATATCAACATGTTTATGTGTAAATTTGTACTATTCTGATTTCTGATGTGACATTTGTCTCTGACCTGCTTGGTGATATATTTCACAGAATCACTCTTGTAATCCGCCACTGGCTGCAGGATGTTTTTGACTCTGGCTCTTTTGCGGAAGGGAATCCCAGGAAAGCAGTGGATCGGGAAGTACCGTCGACCGAGAGTAGTCACCTGGCAGATAAAACGCAATGTGATTAAACGCCTGGAACAGGAATCAGAGAATGAATACTGGATCAGCCAACCGTTCATGACGAAGGAACAGGAGCAAGGCCACGCAGCACAGAGGCGGGAGTGGATGTGGCAACAAATCAAAGCTGCACAACAAGCCAAGTTTCCTGAACACAAATACATCGCAGACCAACTAAACCACCTGAAAATCACCCAGACCTGGCCCAGCTAACCAGAAGACTGATGGATCTCAGTGTTTGGAGAGAGAAAGCAGATGAAAACATACTTTCTGCATTGTGCATCTGTATGTGATATGTGCTGTGTTTATAAATTACTTGTGATCATCACATTTGGCTCCTCTTCTTTTTTTTTGATTCATTATGTAGTCTTAACTGTCTCAGCTAAATTATATTTTAACATGGTAAATTAAATTCCAAGTTACGTACAATCAAATTTGTAAGTTGGTCATTTGTACTCTTGTAACTTTGTCAAAAGTAACAGCAGCAAAAAAAAAAGAAGAAGAAAGGTGAAGAATATGGTCACTCTTGATTATTCTTTTAATCAGATCTTTTCAGTAAATTGGAGTTGCCTAAATGATTTATTACCAAATCAGAATTTTTTATTCCTTCATGAATGTGCCAGATTACTATATTACTCTGTATTACTAGATATTTCTAAATATTACAGTATTACTAAATATAACACTATTACTAAATAATGGCTGAGTTGAGTTGTACTGACAACCTTTATGATACTTTAATGACACGCTTCCCTTTTGAAGTGTAAAAGCTCTAGTTAATTGAATTATTAGAATGATTTTACATTATACATAGTAATATATATTGGATATACCTATATACTGACCTGTTTAGCACATAATTACTCCCATGAGTACTCCCATATTTACTCATATAATATAATATAATACTCCCATGCACTAGAGAGCAGTGTACACATCAAGATAGCAAAATATGTTCAAAACTTCACTTCCCACAAATCAGTGGGCGCGAGCGCCTTGGTCTCCATGACAGTCTTGTTATTGTTGTGTCAGTAGATTATCATGGATGGATGAAGAATACAACTGCTTTTTTCGCCACTAAACCTTTCCTAATAAATCAGTCGACGATATGGTGGAATAATCAGATTTTCGTTTCATGTTCACGGACTCTTTACTCTCATCCACACAAGGTTTGACAGATCAGGTTCGGCCCATCTCAGTGCTGGTTGCTACACATTTTCTCACAGCACAGCTGTGATCTGGTCCGACTGTTAGTGAAGCATGAGAGAGCAGCGGTGGTGCAGCGGCCCGGTCCGGACACAGGAGGCTCGGAGTCGGATCACAGGCTTGATGGAGGAGATGCGCCTGTAACAGCTTCAGGAGGATGATTTCACGATACAGCCGTCGGCCTGTATCTAACAGCATAGAGATGTGCGTATAAATCACACAGACACGATCTCAAGCTGCCTACTTAGACAGCATTTTCGGTATCTTAGTTTTATAGGTAGCCAGCTCATAGGTTACTGTGGACTGGTGTTTAAGTATATCGGGTTTATTTGTTACTAAGTACAATGTGTAAACTGTCAAGGAATCGTTTACAAATCCTTCATTTTTTCCCCAGATAGATAGATAGATAGATAGAAATAGTCAAATGATAGATAAATTGATAGATAGATAGATAATCAGAACGATATTTGGTTTGATCCATAAATTGTCAGACAGATAAATAGTCAGATAGACAGATCTTTGAATTGATTCTTAGAAAGACAGGCCAATCAACTGACAGACAGACAGATAGATAGATAGATAGATAGATAGTCAGGTTATCAATCCAATTATTTGGATTGATAGATAGATAAATAGTCATATAGGCAAGGCAAGGCAAGTTTATTTGTATAGCACATTTCATACACAATGGTAATTCAAAGTGCTTTACATAAAAGAAAAGAAAAAAAAAATAATCACAACAATAAAACAAGGAATTTAAAAACATTGAAAATGATTAAAACAATTGATTTAAGAAGTTTAAAATGAATTTAAGAAAACGATTATACATAGAATATAGTGCAATCAGTTCGGACATCGCACAGTGCTCATTCAATGAATGCACAGCTAAACAGATGAGTATAGAAAGATCTTTGGATTGATCCTTAGATAGACACACAGACTGATGATAGATAGATAGATAGATAGATAGAAAGAAATAGTCAAATGATAGATAGTCAGACAGATCGTTGTATGTATGTGTATATATATATATATATATATATATATATGTAGATAGAAAGATCTTGAATGGATGGATAGAAAGATAGATCTATAGATAGATTTATTGATTGATCGATCATTATATAGATTTTAGAAGTTGCTCTGTCTTCATCCAGTAAATGCTCTTCATCTTTCTCTCTCTTTGCTGGTTTTGGTAGTTGTGGTTTGTCCCGCAGCTGTCTGGACCAGCATCCTCTTCCAGAGGAGGCAGATGATGATACTGTGCATCCGCCCAGACTCCTGCATGATCTTCAGGAGGACATGTCCTCATACAGCAGGTGAGTGCCAGGTACAATGTGTGTCTGTACAGGTATATATTAAAGGGGCAGGGTTTCATTACTGAGTATAATATGTGAATTCTTTTTATATTATAAAAAAATATTTATTTTATAATATTCGCTCTTTCCAATCTGACGTTTGAATTTATGAGATAATCACTCTCTCTCTCTTTCTAGGTCTGAGGAGTCCTCTGCATCATCCGTCAGATCAGGATGTCAGACACTCACCACAGATGACACAGCTCAGTCTTGGTCTGGTATCCATAGTTACACGGGAACTGGCATCTCTACAGAGCGCAGCTCTGTCTTCTCGTGGGGCTACGATGTGAGTGATGTCTTCTCGATTTCTAAGGGGCCGTTTACACAAGATGATTTCTTGTTTTTAACTTTACACAGCGTGTTCAAAATGTGCTGCTGACTAGTTCAAATTCATCTCTTTTTACTTTTCCCTCTTTCTTTCTCTCTTTCCCCGGTAGGAATTTGATAAAGCCGCTTCCAGGCAGGTCCAACAGATGTTTGAAGAGATTGAAGAACTGTTG